ATCTCTTTTCTATTTTCGACGAGCGTCGACGAGCGAAAGAATTTCTCGTTAACCGTTTACCGTTTGCCGAGGCCTCGTTCGAGGAGAACGGGGCTTATCGTAAAACATACCAGTGTCGACTTTCGTTTATCAACGAGCCGAGTGTGAAGTTTAATTCGAGCCGCGCGCTTTCAGCGACCGCGACAATGCCTTCGCGGGAACGCGACGCGAAAAATCAACTGTTCATCGCGCCGGGAACAAATAACGCCACTCCGCCCCCCCCCTCCCACTCTCCCTCCCTCGTCTCCCCCTCCGCGCCCAGGTATTTAGAGGAGCGCCTATGATTTCCAACGAGGCGGCGCTCGAGTTGGAAAAAAATTTCTTCGAACTTGTCGCTCTATCTGTCTTTCTCTTTCTCTCTTTCTCTGTCTCTCTCTCTGGGTATCATATTACACGTATACGATATTCCTCTATTCGCATGTTTTGGTGGAAGAAAAAAAAAAAGGGGGGATTTCCCTCCTTCTTCTGCCATTCTTCTAAAAGAAAGGAAGAAGGATATATAAGATAGAATAGGAATGACGAACGAATGGAAAAGAAGTTTCAATAAAGGGGAGGATAAATTTTCGAATTATGTTATTTCTAATTATTTATCCTTCCCCATCTGGAAGGAGACGCAAACGTACGAGTACGATTGCGAAAACAGGCTCGATTATTTTTCTCTTCGGTGGTTCGGTCAGGCAAGTTTGTTTTCGACCAGCGATGGGCAATGAAAAGGCTGTTCTATTAGATAGCCGGCCGGGGAGGGAGGGGAAAGGTGCAGATGCGACGAACACCTTTTCTGGAACAGCTGTTGCGTCGAGCGTAGGAAAATCCTGACCTTCGACCCTCTCTCCCCCCCTCCACTCTTATTTCCTCCCTCCCCCCTCCCCTTTCGTAATTATCCGATCTAAGAATGGGAAAGGGGGAGCCATTTCTCGATCTAAGTTTCTTTCGTGATTTTTCAATAGACGTTTTGCAAAGATAGCAGTTATAGATCCAAATGTCGGGACGTGACAAGCTTTCAACAAGAAAAATATAATATAATTATATTCGTTATATAACAATATTATCCGTTGTAAAAAGAACGAATAATTCGTTCGTACTTGGAAAAGTAAATTTCTTCGAAAATTACTTTAGAAGAATATCTCTCTTTCTCTCTCTCTCTCTCTCTCTCTCACGTATTGACAATTGCGTGATTTAAAAGACACGAATATTCCTTTATCTAACCCGCTAAATCTTTCGAATCTCAAAGTTGTGAGAGCGAAACACGGAACACCTCTGACCTTTTCGTCGGAGAGAAAAGGATCGCCTCGACGGATATAGAGCGAGGGACAGAGGTGAGATTCACTCGTATATAACGTGACGATGAAAACAGAAACTGGATGGCCTTTTATTCGCTCGAAGAGAGCGATAATCGAGATACGAGTTTTTTTTTTATTTTTCTTAAAAGGAAAGGTTTTGCATTGAAACTTGGGGAGGGGGAAAGCGGAAGGTGGAAACGGGATCCGGAGAGGCGAAGCCACAGGACACAGGATGT